AAACGATTTCAGCTATGATCCGCAGAAACCTAAAACCGTTTTGTCCCATATGCTGGCAAAATTACGCGTATTATTTATTGAGATTTGCGCAGGCGCACCGCTTGAAGCATATGTACCTACAATATATATATAAGATATAGGAACAGTTGTGTGGGATGAACATGAACTCCCTCCCCTTAGATAGCAATCAGAAACTCCCTCTAACATGTAGACAGATCGCGGGTAGTCCAGTCCTATGCGCAGGCGCCCCCTGCTCCCAAGCAGGATAACAGTTGGCCAGAGCATTGTTGCTTCTGCTCATACATATACATATGTATGTATGTATCATGGGTGCTGGCTGATATCATCTTGCCCTGCCCTTCTAATGAATTACGGCACACTTTTCAATTAGTTGCATATTTACACAATAATTTTGATGATGCCAGAGAAACGCATAGAGATGTACCCCTGCGATAGACAAAGGTCGTCACGTTCAATATGACAGGAGAGACAGAACAGAGGGAGAGGGAGAGCAGACTGAGTCTGTCTGCGGGTGAGCGATGCCTGTGGACACCGTCAGCTGTTGCCACTTCTGGCTTGGGGGTGTTGACTATAATGCAGCCACCCTGTGGTCACATTTAATTGTTTTGTCTGCTTGTCTGTTGTAGAAAAGGTGAAACGTTGTGGGAGGTAGAACCTCCATAGAATGGTGTCTGGCATACGGCAAAGTTATTATGTGTGCAACAATACAGGGAATTACTTTTATATATGTATATATAATTGGATGGGCCGAATGTATTTAGATGTTAGTTTGGTGCGGTGTATTACGGAGAACTCTGGAAAAGGTACATATTCATATAATTGGGTGGATTTGATGTAGAGGAACTAAGGAGAATGATTATTCAGTTTAATATACATAAAGTTTATTATGGTGTATTATTAATACTTAGTACAGCGGCAGAACAATAGCGAAAGGTGTGTGTATGTGATAGCGAAAGAGATAGAGAGAGTTAAATGAGTGCCAGAGCAAGACTACTCAAGAGCAGCGAGCCCGTGCCCGAAGCGAGGCTTTGACAGATCGACTAGAGCGCGACAGATCGAGAGAGCGCGACAGATCGAGGGAGCGATAAGGAAAGCAAAGCAGAGCCAGAAAGGCGCGAGATGAAGACGCGAGAGAGCGGCTGCATATGCTCGCTGTCATGCGGGAGCATATCTACATACGTACATATTTACATACTTATGCATGTGTAGCTACAATGTGGTACAGTAGGCAGTGCAAATGCCGAACAATAATTGGGCTCAACTCTCCTGCTGCACCACTGACTGTGCTCTCTCTTTCCCTCTATTGCTCTTCGTCAACGAATGATACTTTGGCCGCCTTATTAGCTGTTTGTATTAAATTGTTTGCTTTAATTGTAATCCATAATTATTGCCTGAACTCATCAGACGAAGAAATTAATAAATTAATTTCTCAAGAGACTTAATTCCGCCTTAGTTAAAGTGCAAAAAGTACAAATGCACATGTTTAGCATATTTAGCTAATGGCAGAACTTGACTTGCTGCAGATTAGTTGGCGCCGTTGCTTTGTCAATATGTCAAGGCAATCGGACAGGCAGAGACTCGCAGATCTCCGCGCTTTACCCACAATTGGACTTGGACTCTCGTACTTGTTCTCGTTTGCCTACGTACCACACGGACTGTGATTGCAATTGCCATTTGAATTAAGTATTGGAAAAGTAGGGGAATGCAAAAAATCGGAAATTAAAAAAAAATATATGTATATACTCGTGTCTGCAGCTGCAGCAGTTTTTTTTGTCGCTAAACTTGCAATTGTGTTGTGAGTTTGTTTTTTTTTTTTGTGTTTCTTTTTGTTTGGTGCAATATAATTGCAGCCTCTCTCTGGGGGCACAAGTACAATGACGAGGACGTAGACGGGGACGGGGACGGCGACTGATGCTGGCCCTGGCCCTCAAGTGCACACTTCCTGTCATTTGCATTAACAAAGTACGAGGAGTATTTTTTTTTTTACTTTACTTTTTTTTTACTTTTTTACTGCTTTACTGCTAGTTTTTATTTATTTTCATAACGCACACTTAATGGGCCTCTGATCTGACAAAAGCCTGTGGGCCAATGCATTGCATTGTTCGATTCGTAACGGGGCCTGGTTCCAAGTGCCACATTCGGGGTCCCTGGCTGCGACTGCGCGTGACGCACGTGGCTCAGCGTGGAGCGGTGCAGTGCGTAGGGGTTGGCACTGAGCATCGGTTCGCTATATGGACCCTTGGGGTTGCTCATTGCAGCCCGCAGCATTTACCAGTTTCGAGTTTTATTTGGCTTCGCCTGCATTGTTGCAGCGTCTCGCTTGTGCCTGCCACACGCACACACGGCTGTGCCCCTGCCTCCTTGACCCAAAACCCAAAACCCAAGACACATCAGACCCATTAGACCAGCAGCAAAGGCAGCCACAACAGCAACAGCAGCAGCTGCAGCTGCAGGGGCAGGGCAACCAACAGCAACCATCAAGCTCCTTGGGCAGAGAGATCAAGACGAGCAGGAGAACGAGGAGGAGGACTGGCGTGTCAAATGAACAACCAGGCAGCCAGCTGTTGCCATTCCACTAAATCAAAACGAGCCGGCGTGCAAACAAATTAAGAATAGGAAACCCAAACTCATTGTGGGCTAGGAAAAATGGGAAAACTCTTGCTCAGCATATGTGGCAGCTTCACAGTTGACTTGGAGGCAATTAGCAGGGACTCGCACCCTTGCTGGCCAGCACTTTTCACTTTGTGGCCACCGCCCATGCAAATAGTCCTGAGTGGCTGTTGATCAGCAGTCCAACCCACAGACACCAGCAGCACAGTACCAGAGACACCACAGCCACCACTGACTGGTGAGTGAGTCCTTTCATCCACTGTTTCGCCACCACACTGGCAGCTGGCATTCGTGCTGCAATCCTTGTCAGGGTCTAGCTGTTTTTATATATATGGTTTTCTGTATCCTTTTCTTGTCTGTATTTAACATTTGTCAACAATTTGCTGTTCGGTTTGGTGCCTCTTTCAAGGGTTATTCCAAGGGTTATACTCGTATATAGCCTGAAGGTACAGTTTGTCACAAATGGAGATCTTCTGAGGTATTTGTGGAGAAATGTGCGTGGATCGCTGCTATAATCATTTACACAGAGGTTTGGCATGCCCATTGGTTGCTGTTTCAGCTCCATATACTTTTACAGGATATCCTTTTATCAGTCAATTCATCTGACACAATTTTTGTCTGCGTTTTCAGACTGTTGCGTGATTAATTGCCGTTTGCTGTGGCATTTGCTGTTGGCCCTGCTGTTGCCCGAAGGATTGCCTTTGTGTTGTTTTGGCATTGCCAAAAAGGATGCCGCTTTTATTGGGGCAAGGCCAAGCCCATATAATTGCTGACTGATGCCGTCTGCGGCTGTGGTTATCCATCCACCAACAGCTGCTGCTGCTGCAATCACGCAGCCTGCTTCAAGCGACAGACAGACAGCCTTGTGGCAATATTAAAATCCACTCAGAGCGACGCGTGGCGCCGACACATAAACCAATTAAAGTAAACATTAAGCATTCGGATATCTGTAAATCCTTTTAGCACTAAATCCATAATTGCAATATGAGATGCCACTCGAGGCGGGCCGCACAGTATCCTTTCGTTTGCTAGGGTGCTACGCTACCCCTTCCTGGCCACCTATGCAGGGGTATATTGTGTATTGTTTGGTCATGTTTTGTGTACACACTCTCCTCTCACTGGCCGTTGCCAGGGCAAATCCCTGGACTCCTGTGTCTGCGCATGCGCAACGGAAGGCGGCAGCTGCGGGCCCGCCAGGTCGCTGACTTTGTAATCCTGCGGAAGTTGATTTTATCACGTGTGTCCATTAGTTTGTTGTTACCTTTTGGTAGCTGCCACTGCCCCCCCAGACAGCGGCGCATAGTTCAAAGTTCAGTTGGGAAAATGAAACTGAAACTGAAATTGAAACCATTCGACAGGATGCAAAGGGGTGAGCAGTTTTTCCTACTACTTTTTTTCGAAATATAGTGGAAGTGGAAGAGGTCAGCAGGAGAGGTAAAACCTTCTGTTGATTGGAGGAATTTCATAGCCTAAAACTTTATTAGTTTTGGCTTACCTATAAAATGATCGCCTAATTATTCAGAGACCAAATGGAAACTTTTGAATGCACTTTGGACGAGACAAAAATTAGCCCTTAGGCCTGATCACTTCATTGCACTTCGAATCTTCTATAAGCCGCCAAAATATTTTTAAAAAATCAAAAACCCCGCTTTGTTGACCCTGCGCAGTTTCATAATGTTTACTCAGCTTCTGCAACGCGTATCTTCACAACAATATATGAATTGAACACAAAATTGTTCGACTTTTTACAGGATTTTTGATTGGTGCTGATAGCATGGATATACCCAAAGATATAGCCACCCAAAGTTTCAGTTTAATGCATCGACTGTCACGCCAGAACATCCAAAAGTCAGAGACATTTTGTGGCATCCCATAAGTCTCGCACACCACCCCACACTCCTCTGACCACTGAATAGCTGAAGCTCCATGAGCTTGGGAACAAGCTGCAGGGAAATATTTCAAAGTGCAGTGCACTCATCAATAAGAATGTCTGGAGTGTGGCGTGGAGTGTGGCGTGTGGAGTGTCTGTAACCTCCGGAGGTTAGACCAAAACTAAAAATGCCATCAGTCATTAATCTAATTTTGTTTCTATTTATGGCCAGCGATTGATGGGGCCAGGCAACCGGCGACGACTTGACAATTGGCGTCTAATTATGCAATGGCATCCCGAAAGCCAGATGCCACTCGAGCGGCTGCGGCTGTGGCTGTGGCTGAAATTAATTGGCCTGCCCGACAGTCAGCCGCCATGATGGCATTCGAGGCGATAAGATCCGAGCTCCCGAGAGACAGAGAGAGAGATCATTTGCCCCTGCCCATTGGCAGCGGCAACGCAGTTGGCAACGTTAGAACAGTCAGAGAATTAATGGGCCGAGTCGAAGGGGCTTCCAACAGTTTTGTCAGTCAAATCAAATCAAATTATATTCATTACATTCGCATATTCACGCGGTGTGTGTGTCTGAGAGTCTGTGAGATGGAACAACCAATTAATAAACTGCGATACTATCTGAGGGATGAGATAGTGCTGCACAACAAGAAGGACGACTGCTGGATCAGCATACACAACAATGTCTACGATCTGACGGCCATGATACGCGATCGTTTCGATCACTGGAATAGCGTAGGGCACTCGCACTCGCACTCCCCTGAATAGACCTAGACTTAGACTTAGCCCCCCCATTGAATCTTCTGCAGAACATGGACTATCTGGTGGCACATGCGGGCAAGGATCTGACACATTTCTTCCATGAGAACGGGGAGCCACGCACGGAGATATCGGCCAGAACTGGCCGTCCCCGTGTTCTCTTTCCGCCCATACTGGAGGTGGCACTCAGCGAGTTTGCCAAGACCAGTGGCGCCATGTGGAGTCAGGATCCCCTCTATCACATTGGCAGAGTGACGCAGCGGGCACGCCTCATACGCATCATCAATGCGCTGACGGCCCAGACCCTGTTCCTGACGGTGTGCAACGAGGACAGCATCTACGACATCCAGCAGAAGTACAAGCAGCGCTACAATCACCATGCGGGCAGCTACGAGTGGCGCAAGTTCTCCCATGGAGTAAGTTCATCTCTGGCTCTCTCTCTTGGTCCCCTCCTTAAATGATGTCTCCACACAGGGCACGGCCTGCGGGCAGCTCGACCTGAGCGGCACCTTGGACGAGAACGGTCTGACGGATGAGGAGGAGAGCTCTGTGGATCTGCCACCGCCCTCCATTTGGCTGTACTACACAGATGATATAACCATTGCTTGAGTCTTGGGTTCGGTTTTTATTGGAAATTCGTTGTGCTGCAGGCCAGACTGCAACTTGGGCTGGCCACTCCGTTTAGAATACAATTTAAGAACAAATTTCAACAAATGTCATGGTCCACCTAAGAGGGTAATAGGTCGGGGCAGGTTTTATCTCTTCTGGCTGTGGCATATTGCTCCTGGGTGCTGGATTCGGGTGCTGCTCTGGCCTCTGGACTCGAAATTATGCGGGCTGATGGAGCTGGAGCTGTGAACTCGTGTATGACGAGTCGGGGGGTGTCTGCGCCTGCGCCTGCGCCTGCAGCTGCCCAGTTGGCACGCGTTGGCAGCTACCACACGGCCACCACTGGCCCTGCCACTGCCACTGCCCCTGACTTTGCTCCTGCCCCTGCCCAAAACGGTGCTGCTTGGAGTGCTTACTGAACTGTAAACTGTTTTTCCAGTCCTATGCCAGCATTTGCCCTGCCTAGAGTTATGGCTTATGATTCTTGGAAGCTCTCCTCTGCCCCTCCACTCCGCCACTGGGTACGCCCACTTGCGTTGGATCTCTCCGTTGGGGGTTTTGTGGTTTTGCGCTTGGGAGTGCTTTGTCTTGTGGCCTGACTACCTCCTCCTCCGTCTCTTGTGCTTATCTTGCGCGCATAAATAATTAATTTCAGACTCATTTTGCTTAATAATTCTCTTTTTATACCCGTACTCAAAAAAGAGTTAAGGGGTATATTAGATTTGTGGTAAAAGTGGATGTGTGTAACGCAGAGAAGGAAACGTTTCCGACCCCATAAAGTATATAATCTTGATCACATAGCCGAGCGATATGCCGCTGTGCCGCTGTCTGCTGCGCTGTCTGCTGCTGGCTGTGCTCGATGAGCGCCGACCAAAGAGCTGGGCACCAAATTGGTTCCGACCAGTGACACCTGCTACAGGATGCCCCGCCCCCCGCCCCCACGGACGAACGGGGCCGGTACAAGCAGATGGATGACCAACCGCGCACTGAATGACGGATCATAATTATGCCAGAATGAAATATTTAGTTGCTCCCCCCCCCCGCCGACAACAACCATTCCCCGCCCACACCGCCGCGTTCAGGCCCCAGGGGTGTAGAAGAGGACAACACAGTAGATGTATAATAGCATTTTATAGAGGCAAAATTAAAGTAAAATTTTTTTTTTTAAAATTAAAAAACATAACCAAAAGTGTATGTATACTGACTACGGGTATAGCGGCCCGAAACGACCACACCCCCGTTTTGTTTTGTTTAGTTGTTTAATTGCAAACCAGTTTGCTGCGCTGCCATAAATGGTAGTCTGGTGGGGCTCTGCTCTGCTCTGCTCTGTTCTGCTCTGTTCTTAATTTACATTGAGCAAGCGACGTGTGACAAAGAGGCCACAATACCCCCCCTCAGACACTAGGCACAGGCACAGGCACTCGAGCAATGTTGTTGAAATATTTACAGCCGCCAATCTGTGTGTGTAGGATTTTTGACAAGCCGCTCGAAGGCACTTTGGCACTCGAAGGTTGCGGATATATCAATTCATCAGATACTTTCCCATGCTGCAAATCCACACAAAACAACAACAAAAACCAGCTAAAGGGAATCAATAGCCAAAGCCCAAAGTCTCAGCCTCAGTCTCAGTCTCAGCCTCAAGACATGCACAATCTTGTGAAATATTGTTCGCAGATACCTGTTTCAGAATCCCTCTGGTACCTGACCAGCGATGACTCACCTGCGAACACGTTTGTGCATGTCGTGGCCTGGGAACAGGAGCAACTCCAACCATATCGCATACTGCTGGCTGGCTGGCTAACCTGTCCTGCCCCTGTCTGGGGCTCCACAAGCTACGCAGCGGGGCTACGCATCACTGCTAGTGCTGGGTGGGTGTGGCCTGGTGGGCGGGGGGAGAGCTCTACAAATCCGTTGCACTGCTTGGCTCTATGGCACTGCTTGGCTCTATGGCACTGCGTTTGTCGTTTGGCACAAAACCCGTTTTTGGCCTGTGCTCTCCCTGCGCCCTGCGCCCACCGCGCTCCGCCTGCGTGCAAGTTCGCTGCCTAAGTCTTTTGTTTGTAGCGCCACAGAGAGAGAGAGAGAGAGAGAGGTTCAATGAGCTTGGGGCGTAGAAGCAAAGCAAACGAATTGCATTTGCGTATTAAATATTTTACGGTGCAGAGTGGTAGGGCGAGAAGGAAGAGAATGGGTGATGGGCGATGGATCGGGGGCTGCTAACATTCCCTTGTTGGCTATCTCTTTGGGTTGTTTGCAAACTTACAACTTAATTGATGGCACACACACACAATCTTCCTGCGGAATCATGTTCAAAGGTTGTCACACCACCGCCTCCAGCGCCTCCACCTGTCCTCCCAGTACACTCTGACATTGCCTGACAATTGTTCCAAAAGAGGCCAACACGGCAACGGCGACATCTGCCCTGACAATGGCACTGCCAGAGACAAAATTCAGTGCATAAATTGCGCTGTTCGCCGCATTCCTTGGGATCAGCCCGGATCGACAGCAGCACCCACAGCAGTACAGCGAATATAACCCACTTCAGCTGTGACTGTGACCCATTCCCACAGACATCCACCACAGAACAGAGCTAACAGAACTACACACACAAATGCGTAGTCAAAGGCAGCTAATTCTGAATTCTATGCCGGTCGGTCGCATTCTTTCTCGACTGTCTGTCTGTCTGTCTTTCCCAAAGCTGTCTTTTCCAGGCGGAAGTGGAGAGCAATCTTCGTGCTTGTCTGAGCTCCTCCCCCAGCGATTTCCCAGCTAAGCGAACTAATTTAGTGCTTAGCTCGACATAAACTGTTTGGTTTGCTTGGTTTGCTTATTTTCCCAGGTTTTTCCTGCTCGTGTCGTCGTCGTCAGGGGCCCAGAGGAATTTATGCAGATTAGCCTGTAGAAATAGAAAGCCGAATAGACTCGGGCTTCAGTCGAAATTTTGTTTGGCATGAAGGTCAGCGTCGCGGCACACCAAAAGGAAGTACTCCCCGCCCTTCCAGCAGCCCCAAAAATAGTCATCCCACTAGCATGTACATCCGTTATGGCAGATCCGTGTCATTTTCGGTTTCTTTTACTGTTTTTCTCACTGTAGAGAACTTGGCTCTCCACTCGCTCGATTCTGATGGGGCGTTGGTTGCGACTTCCCCCCATCAGAACTTTGCATTTGGCATACAAAACATTGACCGCTGACTGACTGCCTGACTGCCTGCCTGCCTGCATTTGGCACTTGGCATTCCACGCCAGCGACAACAAATTAAATAATAAATACACGATGGACAAAAAAAAAAAAAGAATATGCGACAATAAATAGCGGAACCAAATTAGGAAGTGGCCACGCCACACCACAGCACACCACAACAGAACACACCACAAAGTGCCCAACTCCATATTCGGGTGGGGTGGCCACCGATACAGCAACAGCAACAACCACAGTCTTGCCACAAGTGGGTCTTTTGTACGTTCGGGGAGCAGAGACACTGTCTGTCATTGGCATACTAAATATGAGGGAAGTATTAATAGAGGTAATTGATTCGGTGGGCTTCTGGTTAGCTTTTGGTTCGCGGCTCATTGCAGTTTGCAAGTAAATGACAAATAAACACCAAGAATAAATAATTAAGCTATGGAAGATAAAGAATATTTGTGGTATAAGTTGCACTGATCTAAAGTTAAACAAGTGCAAAGTATCCAAACAAAAATCGCTTAATAAGCTCAAAAGTTATGGCTAATACTTTCAAAGGGCATTTACTGCACGACAATATTTTTGTGCCAATTCTGAAAGTGTAAATTAAATTCCCTTAATAAGATTTCTTCTTAATTTCTATTCCATAATAAAACTGTATTTGTGTTTGTATTTATTGAAGATGATCAGCAACTTTCTACTAATACAAACTATGATTAAAATTAAAGGAAAAAAGGGTATATAAGAAATAATTAAAAACTAGAGGATTGTAGCTACAGGTACAGGTATATCTTACTGGCTTTAATTTTATAGGGTTAATTCTGGGGACAGGGTATGATAAAGATTATTTTAAGTGGAGCATAAAATTCGAAATTAGACCTACAGACCTACAGACTACAGACCTACCTACGAAAGGTACGAAAAATACTAAGGGGAACAATGTCTCTATGTCTATGTCTCTAGATCTTATACCTAGTCCATTAATACCCAAGGTAGCCCTATAAAAAACATTTAAAGAACTCAACAGTCGATTTCCCTGGCAGCTACTATTACTATTAAAATCGCATGTGAGACTATGCCTTATGAGCAGTTCCTGAAGTTAAGCCAATAAATAAATTGTAGATGGTGCGAATGATGAGACATATTTTTAATTGGGTTTAATTGGGTTTATCTTCTCCCAGGGCAAACATCGATTTCTCAATAAAACAAAAAGTGTTAAAACTAAGTTCCTTCAATCTCGAATAATACTATTGTATGCCCCAACCAGGCCTCCTTCGAGTACTTTCCAATTGATATGCAACTTTGGCACCTCTTGAGCTGCGCTGAGTTTCCATAAATTATTCAAAGCTTAACTGCTTCCGTTTTGGACGAGTGTCTGTCCATCCGTCTGTCTGTCTGAGTGACTGACTGTCTGTGGCACTGTCAATTCCTCGCTGTGCCCCTGTCTGCTACTCGTATTCTCTGGCAGATTGACAAGGTTTGACTTGGACAGTGGTTGGGGCGCGGTGAGGGGCTCTTCGAGGGGGTCAATGGGACGCGGAGGACGCTGCACTTTCTTGTGGTTTTATTGGATTGGATTGGAGCGCAGCTGTTTGCATAAATATCCATTGGCAATAACAATTTCGAATGGCTGCCTGCCAGCCAGCCAGCCAACGAGTTTATTTTACATTTTATTGTATAATTTTCGGATGTGGTTTTCCCAAAGAGAAAAGAGAGAGAGATAGAGGCACAGGCAGAGGCACAGGCACGGCCACTGTTCTGCTCCGTTCTGTGGCATAAATTAACGCGTGCAACTAAAATAAAAATAAATATATTTTTATATGTATTTATATGTATGTGTATGTGCCTTGGGGGTATGGCCTCCGGGGGCAGAGCTGGTTCTTGTGCCGCCTGAGTGCCCTCCAGGTATGTCCACAAATGGAATGAAAAT